TGCCCGCAGTGAATGAGCGCATGAGCTGAAGACACTCTTCGCTATACTGTGCCACCTAGGAAACTGGGCTAAATTCAGAGGCATTTGGATTGTATGAAAATATTTTGTTGAGATTGGTGCATTGTTACTGTATCATGGAGCATGGTACTTACAAGATAAAATTGTTAACACTTTTTTCCCTAGCTACAGCAACAACCGATCCGATATCTGCCGTACCAAAATAACGTTTCTCCGAAGGCGGGTAGCACCAGACATTCCAGCCAGTAACCTGCTCCCTCGGGCATCTGCTCAGCCAGACGTGGTACCCGCTGGTGCGCGACGAATGTGACCACAAGGTTGGCTACCACCGCCCTAGCTGCGACGCGGGTACATAATCGCCCCGAAGAAACCTTCCCAAGGCGACCGCTCAGACAGTCGGAGGGGGTAGACGCGCCGCGCTCCGAGGGTCGAAAAGAGGCGCAGCACTGAACTACGGCGTCTGATTACCGGCGGCGATGGCGCTGCATGCCCCCCCAACAAGGACGGCGCCTTGTGTTTCGCATCCCTCTGCATTCAGAGCCATCCTTACCACTCTCGCCATGTTTGAACTTTTTTTTTTTTACGTGTGCTCGTGAGCGGTTCACCCCGCAGTATATTGCCCTGGCGGTGGTGGCGTTTCTTTTCGAGTGCCTGACATTGCACCATGTACGAGGACTCGGCCGGTGCCGCGCTAATTCACGACTCAAAACGGCAAGTCCGCAATGGTGGGACCAAGCGCCGTGAACTCGCTCTCTGCGAACCTGAGATCTCGTGGGTCCCCCGCCGAGCTGCAACCCTCCGGGGTGTCGCATACGAAACGGGTGTGCTGTCAGGACCGTGGTGTCTCTACTAGCTTTCTACTCCCTCCCTTTTTATCAGTATATTTTCTTTTCCCGTCACTAAACAAGGAAAAGCATTGTTGCCCCTGCTCTAACCTGTCCTGACATGCGTGCCACCACGCAACAGTGGCACTTGCTGCGTAGGTGCGTTCAATAGACGGTTTCTAGACTGCAACTGTTATACCCCACAAAACTTCCGGTCACCTCATTTACCAGCTCCTAACGTCCAACTAAAAGCACGTTTTCAAGTTTCTTTCACGGATAAGAAAAGTCTCTTTTTAGTTTTTCAGATAAAAGGTACGTGCATAAAGTTTAAGGAAATCTTTCATTTCATTCAGCTCACAGAAAAAAATTTCTTTGAATATGTTCTGTAAAATAGGAGAAGGCAAGTGTAGAAAATCAGCAGGCTTATTTCCTAAAACTCTTCTTGCCCACCCTCATTGGTGGACGAAACCAGACGTCATCAAGGGCCTGTGTTTGCAAACAGTGAAAAAGTCTATATTGCTTAATAGGATGAAGACACTGCTGCCAGAGAACAAAAATTGTGATAATGCGAAACGAGCAACATTGGACTAGCACTTTTCAACAGGCTGTTCAGAAAGTAAGTACTCTATTTTGCAGGTGCTTGTGATGGCGATCCGCATTTTCGTTGAGGTGCTTGCAGCGTGAAGCGAATGCAAATACCCGAACAAAGCTGCGAGGACTTCATGCCGTATCCTTTTATATGGCATTCATCGCGGCTGTCACCGCAACAACAATATACTGATCGCATAGTACAAAAACTGGGATTTTTTATCAATTTTTAGAAAGGAAAAAAAAATGCACCTCAGACAACTCATAAATTCTTATCTAAAAATAAATAAACAGCTCAAGGATGGAGAATATAGTCTCCCAAACAAGTACAACGAAGCGCCAAATTTTACCAGGGTTTTGTACTCTGTGTATCAACTCCAAGCTGCTTTGCATGTGAAGATTTGCACCAGTGACACCAGCTGAACAATATCCTGCTTATAGATTTTATGTACGATCGAGTAAATTGAATATTGCGTGAACTACATGGACATGAATCGACGGAAGAAATGTTACGTATGTTACAGACATTGTTGGAGTTCCAGAAGCTTTTAAGTATTTCATGAAAAGCATGTTTGCTCTTTTGATCAGACAAACATTTCAAAAATGCTGTGGCATACAATTCGCACTCTGTAGTGCTTCAGTGCAGAGACACACATATACGTCTGGACTGTGCTTTGTCTTCTGGTAATTAAAACCTCAAGCAACCACGAGGGCTGACTTGTAGGGTTCAGTCAACCACCCCTTGATTTTTTTTTTGACATTTTGTACGCAGACATACAAACACACTCCAATAGGTAAGGATAGGCCCAAATTGGGGTGGAAGCAACGCACACTGCTTTGAACAAAAGTGCAAAAAAAATATAAGTACGCCAATGAACTCAAGTTATGCCGTTCTTCGCCAGCACTGCATGTTCGCAAGATGTCCAATCATCCTGCAAAACCTATTAGTCGACTTCTGGGGAATCCTGGCCAAAGCAACGTCCTTTTTACGCCGCGATTATGTTTTTAAGTATGCCATAACATAGAGCAAGAAAAGAACATAGAAGGGATCTCTGTGAAGAGACGGAGAAAATTTGACAGAGTTGAGGCAGGAAGCGACGCACCGAAATAGCCACACCGTACAGCTGTAGCAGTTTCTGCATGGCGCAGGTAGTTACACTGTATGGCCATTACGAAGACTGGCACTCGCCGCAGCAGCGAAGGCTTTTCTTTTTTTTTTTTTGCGTTCTGCCCATTCCACACTCCATCACTCAGAGAAGATCGCCAGGAACTCTAGCATAGCACAGTTGTTTGGTGGGGTACTTTGGTGCCTCGGGGCTAAAGAATTCCGCCTCTTCCACGGACAAGGAAAAATAACAGAGAAAGAAATGAACGACGAAAATGTGGGTTGCCGTTTGCATGGCTCACGTTTCGTTGAGACTGCTTCAACAAAACTTTGTGAGCTCATCGAAGCTACTTTAGTTAGCTCTAAGAATCAGTTATTCCTTCTTTTTTTTCACTGTGAAGGTGCGAGCTAAACTAAATATATTTTTTCTTCTATAGTTTTACTCTCACAGAGAAAGACAATAACGTGTGTTTCATCATCTAAGAGCATGCTTTGCCACCACCAAAAACTTCCCCATGCGTCTCTGTATACTAAGCTTGCTAAAGTTAATTGCCGCAATAACGTACATTTACCCACCACGCTCATTATTCTAACGGGGATGACGAGTGCCTTAGTTAAAAAAATAAACATGCAGAAAGAAAGCCGGACGTTAGCTGAGCATTATAGCTAATGGGGAAACAGTACCAAGTGCAAGTATTAGCTAATACCACACATCACTAATAAGTTACTTTTGCTTGATGCATCTCCAATAGGGTAACCATAAAATAAGTAATCTCACTCATGCGTCATGATCAGTATTGGAGAGTTGTTTTTGTTAGACAGTGTGATAATATACTTTCTTTTCTTCTTATGTTCTTTTTTGCTTATGGTTCTTTCTTTCCTTTTTTTCATTCTAGCGCCTCTTTTCTATTCCTTCTCACTCCCCCTACTCCAGCACAGGGTAGCCAGCCGGTACTTAGAAATAGCTAACCTGCCTGTCCTTTTACTTCTTTTTTCCTCATTTTTTTTCTTGTCGGCTTTCTTTCACGTTACAAGTTCAGACAATAACCAAGACAATGTAAAGATCATGCGACCATCGGTCATGTGTCATTAGAGAAATGCTATGAACAGAACATGTTGAAATTTTTTTTTAAAGAATAGGCTCATAAACTAGCACAACCTATTACTGGTATGCTCACGTTTGGTACAAACTTGGAAGTCTGGCCAGGAAAGTGGAAAAGTCATCTGAGTAATATTAGCGTGCAGATGGCGAAAGTCTCCTGAACTAGATCGCGGTCATGGCGATTCTTTTAGAGGTCTAGATTATCCACAGCGAATAAGTACATGAGCTGAAGACGCTCTTCGGCAAACTGTGTCATTTTTTAAACTGGGCTACGTTGCCTGACAAGAAAAAGCGGCTGTTCGACCAGACAACGGGCTTCACCTCAATAGCGATAAGAGAGAAGAGTGTAGAAAGCTAACTTCGACGAACGATTGGTAATGGAGAAGGCATTTCATAATGCGGTACTCTAATATCAGTATCAAATGGGTGTACTTGTTTTACTTGATTTCAACCTCTCGCTACGTCACACATCAATCGATGAGAAATATAATGAAACGGAAATTTCTATTGGTCTTCACGAAATTTTGTCCACCCCAGTAGGTACAACCGCTGCATATGTGGACATTATATTATTTTTTTTTTACCTACGCAGCAAATGCTTATTGATAATACTGGTCGGGGTTTCACGTCCAAAAGTACGGTGCAATGTATAAGAGACGCCATAGTGGAGGGCTCGGGAAGTTTTGGCCACCTGGCGTACTTTAACATGCACCTAAATCTTAGCAAGCTCTTGCAGACTTGATCATACAACATATGCACACGTACGTAATACGTGTCGTCACTGTCCATAATTTCCCTTGTTAATATTGCTGTGCTAATGAGAATAAGGTAGACTTTTAATGTGATAATAAAACAGCCTCTATAACCATATTTGACTGGGTGACTGGGTATATGTGTATATAGTGGCACCAACACTGTCATTCACTTACCACGGCGAAAACTGAGAAGTGGACGCACCGTTCCACTATCTACACTAAGCAGTGATCGTAAGAAGAATCATTACTTACACCATAACAGATGTAAAGAAGAATTATTAAAAATAAAGCAAGTGCCTCGTATAAAGAGTCATTCTACATTGATGATTCGATGATTGATGTATGGGGTTTAACGTCCCAAAACCATCACATGATTGTGAGAGACGCCATAGTGGGGGGCTCCAGAAATTTGGACCACCTGGGGTTCTCGGACGTGCACCCAAATCTGAGCATTTTCGCCTCCATGGAAAATGCAGCCGCCGCAGCCGGGATTGTATTCTGCGACCTGCGGGTCAGCAGCCGAGTATCTTAGCCACCGGACCACCACGGCGGGGCAGGAGTCATATTACAGGGCCGAGTGAAGGATACGGTGTCTTATATAAACGCACCTCGTGGTGTGTCCTGTTTCGGTATCGCAGCCACTTGTGCAGCCCGGGCCTCCAGTACTCCACCATGAATTCCTCGGCGAATTCGCGGCCTTGGCCGTTGCCGAAGCGGCCCTGCGTGGCCAGAGATGTGAGCACGTGCACCGACCGGAGGTTCACCTCCAGGTACTCGTGCGTCTGCGAGGAGATCTGCGGTGCCGGACACCAAGCGCCACCGTTCAGCTCTCGAAGAAGCCTGCGTGAAGAGACATACGTGATGCAGATGCGAGTAATATCGAGAGTGCACAATTACAAGTCACATAACAGGGCCCCACGATGTGGCGAGGGGGGCGCTCGCATCGAAAAGCTGCCAATACGTTTCGAGTGCCCACTCCACCCGTTGCGTCCTGTGCGGCTGCATAGGTTTCTGCGCGCGTGACCGGAGTGCGTGCGCTCATGAATTAAAATAATAAAGTGGATGTCTTCACAGCGGTCGTCCACTTTGCTACCGCAGGTGCATAAAAGCCAGGCATGGGAAGTTTCGGAAGCTGTTAACGCGCGCACAAATAATCCAGCTTGGTTTTCTTAACATTCAGCGAGAAGGTTACCACAAGAGAGCGAGAATTAAATGCTGCTCTGTTGCGGCGAGTTTTCTATCACGGCATTTTAGTATACTCGACGGACAAGCCCTTCCTTGCAGTCTTACTGCTTCCTATAAAAGCGAATAAATAGAAAGAGAACACAGTGCGGATGCAAAGGAAGTTTTCTGTTTCCCCCAGTAACCACGACAAGTTTTAGGAGCTGCTGCCCCTATGGAATATGGCATCGGCGCTCAGAGCGTGCGCGTATGCTTCGCACTCCATCATTAGGTGCGCGCCCAGAGCCTGCGAGGGAACGCTATCGCGTCTGTCCAGGCGTTTCGCAGACGTTGCACCTGGCTCACTTCCTTCCTCCAGCGCACAGCACAGCGCACTGGAATGCGCCCGCCTTGCCGTCCCCGTCTACCTCACTCCCCTTTTACTAAGCGCGTCTTTCGCGTGCGCGATGCGGGAAAAGCGGCCCCTTGTTCCCGGATTTCGTGTTTCCGGGGAAACCCCATTAGAACGGCCGTGGCTGCTCGACTCGGCCATATCTGGCGGCCAGCGTTCGGCCCCTACGAGCTTGCCTCGGCTACAGACAATCGGGTTTTAATTAAACCACGCCGCGCAACCCAAGATGGAATTCATTAGGTTCAGACTACAGCCGCAGCGAAGTACGCGCGCACGCTCACCTCTCCGAGGCGAAAGAGGAGTGTGCCAGAGAAGATCGCCAGTTATTTGACTTAGACCGAGCGCCACCGCGAAGCTACCATAAATCCGGCTTACAGATACCAAGCCACGCCGTTGGCACACGCGCAGCAGTAGCGCTCGCCTTGTTCGCATCGACGACGAAAAGTTACGCGATCGCTGTCTGGCGTCGCTGCAACGGTCGTAAAGCTTTCTTTAGTCGCGTTCTCGGCTGCGTCGCACACAACATTGACACCCAACTCGGCTCCAATCGCGACGTCCCTTGAAGTAATCAAGACGGGGACTTTCTCGATAAAGTAGCGACACCGTACTGCGTCCATTTGTTTGAACGCGCGTGTGTGTCGCATGGTAACAGCTAGAGGACGCCTAAAAGTGCGAGTAAAAATCATTCTGATGCAAGCCTCACAGTGTGTTTTGTAAATTAAGTGCCTTATATGCCACTGTCGCATGCATAACGCTTATGTTGAAAGTGTGCTGTGGCATACAGCATATCGTTCATTCGATACTTTATTGCCCGATAATGCTGCACGTATGCACCGGTGTGTCAGGCCCTATAGTATGCACATGTTTAAAACCAGTATTTCGACTTAAGTGGTTTTCCCTTCACGGTCCTATTTGATTACTTCTCTCCGCTTTCGTAAAGTCAGGCCATTTCAAACTTCAAAGCACTGAAAGAAGAACAATTATTACAGGAGAGAACAATTTTTTTTCTATCCACCCAACATGTTTAATGCTTCATTTGCGTCAGTCTTTTAGTTCCTTTACCACGGTGTTTCCGGTACAGCTAAGCTTTCGGAAACCATGATGCGCCTGTCTTCCTCACACACTCAGGCTGCAGTGTTTACGTGCTTTACTCACCCGCATACTTTTATTGCAAGACTGTTCGGTTATTCGCTAAACGGTGAACATTTGTTTTATCCTCCTAGCTTTATGAGCCCGCCCACGCAGATGACCGCCACCGAAGCAACTACGACGCCCCTTCCACGTTTTCCCTGACGTGCGCGACCTTATGTGCTCCATGCCGCAGTACAGCCGCACCAGCGCGGAGGCCGCGTCGCCGACTACAGACCCGTACAGTATATTCCTGCTTGGTAGACGCACGCACATGCGGGTACGGTTCCTCGCACTGGAAATGAACCCCGCGGGTCGCGCAAACCGGCGCCACCGCATGCGTCCACACGGGAGGCCCGCTGGGAAAGTGCGGCAATAACGTGGCCCGGCGGAGATATGAATCACCACGACAGATGTAACTCGGCGGTAGAGCACGCAAAGGAGCTGTGGTGGCAGAGAGAAAAACAAAATATTAAAAAAGAATGGGAAAGAGAAAAAAGGTGAGGGGGCTGCGGCACCGCAATGAATCCACACGCACACACTCACGTGCTCATGTCCACCGAGGGCGCATGGGCGGCCAGATCAATAGGCCGTCTCCACAGCGGTGCACAGAAAGCGGCGCTTTATGGGTTTTGCTGTATACGCAAAATTGGCGGTTGTGCGCGCGGATTCGAACGAGTGCCGCCTATCTCAGGGTCCACATACTGTGCATGTCCCCACGGGCGATGCCTTTGCATGGTTTTCTCGGATCTACCACTCATCCCTTCTTCACCTCCTGCCACCCGCTCGGCCACAGCAGACGTTCTCACCACTTGCGATTCAACCGGAATAACGACCCTTCGAGTTTTCTTTGTCACCATGGAAGACGGGGGACAAGAAGCGGTTCGCCCAATAGCGGTTCTTTTGTCGAAGGGTTTGTTCGCTATTATTTTCAGACCAGACAGGCGGAACGTGATAAAGGTAGACGAAAGACAAAGAGGCAGAAGGAGTGAACGACGCACATCTCTCAATGCCCTCAAGTATTGGATCCACGCGAAAAGACTGGTGAACAGAAATAAGCAGAAACCTTGACGTGAGCGAAGTTAGGCATTGGGGGATGGAATTTCTTGCACTGAAAGAGAAGGTCCTCTAGTGGCCCCACACAGTCGTACTTACTGCGTTTTTAGAGATAATTGTCGCGAAAATTAAGGACTACTTGGACAGAAGGCAAAAGTTAATGCTCGACCACAAAAATGTGTATGAAATCATTCCTCAAGGCTTAATATATATAATATTACCTATGATGTAGGTGAAAAACGCTATAGATTTGAATCTCTGATTGAAACAAAGTTCACCCTCCCACTCAATTCACCTAGTACTCGGCCTATTGAACTGCATTAGAAAGAAAGCTGATACAAAGTAAAGCTTTGGCGACTACCTTATTAGCAGCAACCCCAGTGTTTAGCAAGCTATATAAACGCAAATAAAATGACATTGACCCACATTCCTTCGTATTTAATCATACTGTTACCACGTGAGCAATTTGTTAACAATGTCATTTTGCATATTCTTACCAAATCTACTGTTGAGACCTCTGTCGGTCGAGCTTCGATTAAGAATTTTTCGTCACAGTGTTACTACCATCCTGTCTCCAAGATTTCTAAAGCCAATCACGTGAAATTAGTATACGAAGCGAGAAAGTCAAGGAGAGTTAATGTCTGACGCCGTAAAACCAGCACGTTCCGCTAAAGTCTCCATAATGACGATGTAGCAAAGTGCGCAAGTTATACATTCACTTTTTCACGAGACACTGATGGTACATGAAATAATAGACTTCGGTTCATGGACAAAAAGTTCAATTCCACAAAATTTCCGTCATGTTTTTATGAGGAGAACATCTAAAAATGAAAACTAAGCTATGTAACTTTTCTCCAACGAGACAACTAAATTTTAATTACCTGATGAATTCGATACGGCACTTCCCCAAATTTGTTTGCGAGAAGGAACCTGAAGCTCTTGGTGTTTGTATATCGCTTCATTAGAGGGCTTATGAACGAAGACCTTTTTTAATTCGAGCCCTGCACCAAATTGGTAAACATTAAGAGTTATTGTGACTGCAATGTTCATAAGAGCTAACTTCGGCGACATCTAGTGCAGAAGATATTTTCAGTGATGCTGGGCAGCCAGTTGGGAGGGAACACTTCAGAACAAAAAGCTTCATGAATTTGAACGCTGCTTAAACACCGTCTCGAATTCGAACACCGGACGTCCAGAAAACCTTCAGCGTAACTGGTGAGACGAAACGGCGCGATGTGGAGTGCGCGCAAACAACAAATTACACGAAAATAGAAAAAATGTTTGAAGGAGGGGGGTAAGAGGTTCCGAGCGCATGACCGCTCAGCGGTCTCGCGTCGCTACATGGCACGCCCCCCTCGTTTTCCCCAATGTCTATCGGCGGGTCAGCACCGAGGACAGGACCTCGTATTTGCGATTCACCGCCCGGCGTGTTCGGGCTCATTAGGATGGAACGGGTATTGTGTCGTGACGGATTGGCCGCCGCTCAGTGATGGACGAGGTCGCCGACAGGGCGCGCGTGCTGCGCGCGCAGCGCCCCACAGCGTGGCGAGTCCTCTGTCGCTCATTCGGTCTCACGAGTGGAAGCGATGCACGTTTTCTTGCGCATCGACGCGCTCTGTATACGTCGCGCGTGCTATAGCTGGCGTGACGGTCGGTCGCCGTCACTGATTAGTATGAAAGAGGAATTAGCGCGCTCAATTGGCCACGCTATAGGGACCGCCATGCCAATGAGACCAATGAGAAGGAGAGAACATGCTCAGCGCAGGGTGCGGATGATTCCGGCTTGGTACAAGCACATAAAACCCGTAATGTGCCCCGCACTCAATACTCAAAGAATTCCTAAGTCGTTCCTTCTAAACGTGTAATGGGCCAATGTGTTTTGTTTTCACACTGAGCCTAAGATAAGGTACAGTATATCATGACTTTTCTGCTGCCCTCTGCGGGTGATAAGCACGAGAAAAGCGTAGGAGCCTCTATGCGCGTTTTCATGAAGAATGAACAAAAGAGTAGCAGGCGAATAAATGTTGCCCCGTAGAATCGATACATACCGTAAGATCGCTACATATCGATTTTCTCCATAGAG